GCCAACTTCCAAGAGAAGTGGTGCAGGCTCCTACCCTGGGGGGCTTTAAGAAGAGGCTGGATATACACCTTGCTGGGGTCGTTTGACCCCAGTACTCTTTCCTGCCATGGCAGGGGGTCGGACTCAATGATCTGCTCAGGTCCCTTCCGACCCGACCAACTATGAAACTGAAATGTTTCATAGTTGAAACTATAGTTTCAGCTGTGAAACCATCCATCCAATGTTTCATAGTTGAAACTATGAAACTACATACAAGCCCAAGTCATATCAGCCAGATTCAGATCTTGCTGATGCCAGTACTAATCTGAAGTCAGCAGAATTACACGCATGTGCGCACGCACACACACACAGAGGAATCAACTGCAATGGTGCCGCAATTATCTAAATAATTGGGAGGCTGTTTTAGTGAACCATCTAACCTCCCCAATCTCAGGTGCCATCTTGGAGTCTCCCCATAAGAGCAGGGGAGCAGTGTGGCTGCTTTGTTAGCATTTGTTTTAGTTGGAGCAAGAACATCCTTGTTTGAATGATGCTCCATTTGCTCAGGATAGGCATCCCTGTCACCTCATGGTGAACCTTGTCACAGCTGGGCAGCCAGGGTAGCCCAATTCATTTATTCATACCATGAACCCTGTCATGGGAATATTTCTGTGTAAAGAAGGCAAACAGAGATGGGCTGAGTCGTTTTGGCTTCCAAATAAAACCTGCTTAGAAGCCACGTTAAGAAGAGGTTCTTTAGCACTGGGGTGTGGGATGTGGTGCCTGCAGGTGTTAATTGGGTTTTATTTGAAGGAGTCACCTGTATGCGTTTGGCATCAGTTGGATGATTTACTGCATGTAAAGGAAGCGTCACCTGGGATTGCTGATTGCCATGTTTATGATGATTCTCCCCTTCTTTCTAGCCAGGAGCATTGGACCAAGCCATAGAAGACATCAGCACCCGTGTCATTGAGAATGCAGGAGAAACCACGGACAGCTTTTGGCTTCTGACTGAGTGAGTAGTCAGAATGAGGCCTGGGCTGCTTCAGTTAAAGGCTGGTAGAAATGAAATGGTAATGGGAGAGGTGCAGTGTGTTGACGTATCATGAAGCTCTTATAGGCCACATCTATACAGCTGACTTACATGGCCTGACATCAGCATTTTCCAGCCTCCTGTCATGTCCCACATTGGCTGCCTCTTGCAAGCAGTGCAGATGTGCATACATGGCACTCCACGTGATCTAACCATTGGGGGAAAGGATGGGCTGGATGGCACAAATCACTCAGTGCTGCTAATTAGTCCAGCTGCAGTCCTGCACAGCTGCTTCTGGTCGAGTCTACCAGGGCACTGTTACTACGCCTGGGAAGTTCACATCCTAAATACAACATTAGCATTTTGCTTTTGGAAATGAGTGTTTAGAAAAGTCACCCAGCTGCCAGACTTCTTACTGAAAGGGAAACTATGGGCAGAAGAGTTGTACGCATGGTAAAAAATCACCAGCATCTTCCAATTGAGTGATATAAGGAGCTGTGTAGAGTTTCTTAACCTTGAGGACCCATTTGTTAATGCACTATGAACTGCGGTGATGGCCAGTGCTGTACGAGGGTGTCTTGTTAAATATGTGACCTAGTCTGGAGGGTAGAGTACTGGATTGCATGCCAAGAGACCTGAGTTATCTTCCCACTTGGGCTACTGGCCAGCTCATTTCACCTCTCTCTTTCTCACTTTCCCCATCTGCAAAAGGCAGAGGATGATGCTGGCCTCCTTCACAAAGAGCTTTGCAATGTGCTGATTAAACGTGCTAGATAAGAGCTCGGTGTCATTATTGTGTAAGCATCGAACTACAAAAGAAGAGAGACCATGTGAATGTGAATGAAACTGTTCAATTCTGTAAAGAGGCTGTGTCAGGCGTGGGGACCTGGATTGTTGTTGGTCTTGCTTGTAGAGGTCTCTGTTAGCAATTTCTTTGCAAGAAACGATAAGGTTTGATGCTTTTTCTCTGCTGGAACTTGGCCATTGCCTCACTGCTGCTGCCGCCGCTGTTTTCTAGTTAAGGAGTTCCCAGCAGTTGGCAAATGACAGCTCCTCAGGCTCACAAGTTGCTTGAGTCTATACTTAGGCATCTTTGCAGGAGGCAAAGACCTCTGGTTTTAGCAGAGACCAGAATCGCATTTAATGCTGCTTCTGACCTTTCTGAGGCCTCTCATAGCCATTTCCAAAGTGCAGGGGTAGTGCCCTGTATGGTGCCCTGATGGGGTCGGGGATACGTTGGAGCCTTGGCAACTATTGCATGCTCAGCAACAACTCCAGAGCATCAAGTGTCAAGCCCTCTCCTAGGGAGAGAAGGTTTATTTACTAAGACCTTGCATGTTATCCACGGGTGCTTGCTCAGAGACCTGGGAACTTCTGTTTCCACCCAAGAATGGGAAAGGAAGATGTTATGCCAGATTCAGACCTGGTATGACTGAATACAGCTGCTAGGAACTCAAGGGAATGGTTCCCGGGTACTCCATCTTTCCATCATCTTCCTGGTAGATACTAGAATGGCTTGCTTGGCTGATGCAATTTATTTTCTTCCCATCTCTCACTTGCTGCATAAGGGGAAGGACATTTAATGAGGGGGAGAATAAGCTAGGGTAAGAACAGTCATGAAACATTTACTCCAGGGCAGGGGACAAGGCTGAGATCTGTAGCTATTTTCTGCAGTGGATTTCACTCCTGGAGCTGGATTCGAACCTGTGATTTATAGGGATGCGAGTTGCGGGAGATAGCAGGTTCCACAGCCGCTTCCTGTTCAGGCCAGGCAGATGAGCAGCAGTTTCTTAGTATGCTCTTTGTGACAGGTGTTAGTATAGGAGTGGGCAAAATATGGCCCACGGACTGGATCTGGCCCACCAAGGTATTTTATTGGGGCCATGGCAGTTCCCTTGGCCAAGGTGCAGGGGGGCAGACCAGGCTGTGATGCATGCAGCTGGTCCCGCTGCCCCCGGGCATGCAGCAGTGCAGTGGGCAGACTTGCTTTTTGACAGCCCCTGCAGCAGTGGCTCCTTCCAGCTGTTCCTGCCAGTCTCTACCATTGCCATCAGGCCTGGCCCTACTACCCAGGCACCTCGACCCATCCACCCTGCACCCACTGCCAGGGCTGCCAGATGGAGTGGGAAGATGGGGTCTCCATGGAAACAGCATCCAGGACTGGGACGGGCAGGTGAGGGCAAGATCACGGGGTGATGGTGACATGGGGCCAGAGCCTGGAGCAGAGCCATGATCTGATGGCTGCACGTCCCTGTAATGGGCACCATATCACAATCTCAGCCCTGGCCATGCCTGCCCCAGCTCCCTCCTGCATGCCACTCCCTGCCCGCCCACCCGCAGCCCCATCCCATCCACCCAGCCAAGTGTTCCTTGCTCGCATGGGTCCCAAGCCAGTCCCTATTGCTGGGGCCGGGTGGTGACAATGTGGGGCTGGGCCCCGGGACAGTTTTGGTGAGCTCCTGTGGGCCAGGGGGACAGGTGCTGACCCAGTGTAGCAAATGCCCATCCTTGGAGTGGTTGTGATGCCCCTGATACTCAGCCTTTGCCAACCTGGTTTGCCTTGGATCCATCCCCCCTTTACTCATCTGCCATGCCTTGATGTTATTCATTTCTAATAAAAGGGAGGCTGCCCAGGGCTTTCTAAGCCTAGTCTTACTCTTGGACCATAGGTGCTCATAACCATTGCCTTAAGGTATAGTTTTGTGGGCTCCATCCTCCACAATACCCACTCCCAAGCCTTGTGGGTAATCTGCTGACATATACCGTTCATGGGATGTGTTCCCAGCCCTCACTTCTGGCCTCCAGACCTCATGTGCTCTCCATCCTTACTGACATACTTCCCTCTCTCTGGACTTGGGCCCTTTGGCCCCATCCTTTGCCCTCTGACAGGCCCCAGACACTGGAGCTTCCTTTGATGCACCACCCTGGGCACTGGGCTGTCCTGGTCTCCCCCAGGAACTGGACCTTCTCCTGACCTCCTTCTTTCTCACTCTCCAGTCAAGTGACTACTCCAGACAGCAGAGACCTTGTCCTGGGAATCATGGTCAAGCAGCCTTTACATGGCCAAAAGAGCGGAGAGGTAACATGAAAGGCTTTTTCATCAGCATGGACAATCCCCTTTATAACTGCACCCTGCAGGACGGTGGGATGAGGTCCCTGGTGCTTCTTCTCTGCTTCAACCTCCAGGTTGTCAGGGCAATACTTGTCCCTTGCATTAACTTCATGGGCTTGATGACAAATCCCCCTGCTTTCCCACCTACCACCAGCTCCCTTCACCCCTTCATTTAGGGAAGAATCCGGTTGCTTTGCATTCCAGTAGAGGCTGAAACCAGGACTGCACCCCTATAGCACTGGGCGCTGTTCACACAGGTCTGTCTTTTTTCCAGAGAGCTTGTAATCCAAATGGACATGAACAGGGATGGAAGGAAGTGGCTTTTATTTCCATTTTATAGCCTGGGTGCAGTGGCATGGGGGGCAATTTGCACCCGCAGGATGTCTTTAGCAGAGCTGAAAACAGAGCTCATATCTCCTAAATCTCTCAGACTTCAGACAAGCCTTTCTCCTTCCCTGGGATATTCACATTCCCATCTCTTTCTTCTCTCTTCTCCATCCTCATCCTCTAATGGGGAGGGGGAGTTACAGGACTAAATTAAACAGCCCGAGAAGAATCTGTATCTCGTTCGCAGAGGTTGGGCTGGCAGGTAGCAGCCCTGGGGCAATGTTCCATATTCTGAAACCTCCAGCGTATTGGTAACTACAGAGAAATTACCTTCTAATGACTGGGTAAATACTGCCGCGGCTGTGTAATTACATGGGAAATACAGCAAATTGCTTAGCCTAATGATAGGCTAACTCCACTGGAAACAATGGTAAGTGCATGGTTTCTTGCAGTAATGATAGCGTGCTGTGGTCATATGATGCGGTTGGTAAGGAGGTTGTCAGGTCTGGCTGCGTTCTCCCTGAGCTGGTACGGTTGGCATGAGCATGCTGGTTCAGAAGGGGATGCTCTGGGTTTTAGTCCCTCCAGGAGCCTGCTATATTTTTAAACTGCCCAAACTATCGAGGGAGAAGCACTTAGACCAGGCATGATGTGATTTGCTGAAGCTGAGCATGGCACGGAGAATGTCCAACTCAGGCGTTATGTTGGGATATTGCCACACACCAGCTCCAGCATCCCGGTGCTGCTTGGGAAGATGCATCAGGGAGGTACTTTTAAGTGAGTAGCAGGTCCATGAGATGCATGAGATTTAAAGGCATGTGGCCAGCGTTCGTTATAAATAGTGACTGTGTCTCTTGGGTGCCCAAATCACTGAGGCATTTTTGGAAGTTTTTGCTTTCTTTCTTTCTGTCATTTCTGTTGAGGGTTTGGTGACTTACACAGCCTGCTCAGCATTCAGAGTTTGGCTACTGACCATAATTACCCCAAAGCAGCCAGAAATATTGCTGGCATCTGTTTCTGAAATGGGCCTTGACTAGACTCGGTCCCCACAGGCGAGGGGAGCGGAAGACCCCGGGTGGAAGAGCCAGGGTCACGACCACACATCTCACCCTCCTGGAGATGAGGCTGAACAACACTCTTCTTCATCCCGTTTGCTCTGAACACCGAGGCATGTCTCCTAGCCCGAGCCAGGCACCCTTGCTTTCTCTGCTGCATTGTCCTAGTCTCCCTTTAATTAGCTTGGACTGTTTCTTATGCCTGAAACAGGCACTTGTGATGACTAATGAGCTCTCTCCTCTTAACCCTTCGGCCCCTGCTTCTGCTCTGCTTTCCCACCCAGGCATTTTCACTTCCCTTCATCTGTCTGCAAGATCTCTGCCTCAATCAGCCAACTGTCTGCATGAGACGCTGGGCTCTGCAGCCTCCTCTTTTCTCCCAAGCTCTGCTGCAGGAGTTTGGTCATCACACGGCTCAAGGGAGCATGGACCCTGCTCTTTATCTTAGCCTCATCTGGGTGGTTGATTTGTGACCGTGTGTCATGCAC